ACCCTGCTGACTTGACCCCGTCTGTGCAAGATGGTGACAGTGATGGCACTCTTGTAGACGAGGGGTTTGTGTCCTTGATGCCACTGTTCTGATGATCCACTCTGAGAGCAAGGGTCAGCGTGATGCTGGAAATGCTTTTGGCCACCTGATACCTCTTCTGCAGTGGTCTTCTTACACCGTTGCTGTTACCCTTGAAGCTGGACTGGTGTTTTGCACCAGTTGGGTATTCTAGGAAAACATGGGATTACAATAGAAAAGGAAGCAAGAATGCATTGCAGAGTGAATGACAGGAAACAATATTTAATGTTTCCGGTAATGTGCTAATTAGACTAACCAAGTGGAAAATGCTTGCCATTCTGAGAGTTCCCTGATAGAAATATGCAGTTCGTTTTCATTTTTCAGAAAGGTAAAGACCTCTCTAATGTCACTCTCTATTCTTAAGCTCTTAACAGCTTGGATGTTTTAATGAGGCTTTGCTACGTTGACTATATCTCTCTACATTCTGCCTGCTTTCTGATAATTCCTTTATCATTGGTTCTACTGCTGTTAGCTTTGCTGCTATTCCTTGCTTACAACAGCACTGGTAAGTTTAGGATTTGTTACTTGTGGCCTTGGTCATGTTGTTGCTTTTAATGGTGAAGAAGCCACCAGCGCGCCATCCAAAATGAGGTCGAAGTTTGAGTTCTGCCTGGATCTGCTGTTGTAGGTGCAGTCCTCTTTGTGCCGTGGCTATAAGCAGTGGCGAAGAGGTCGGCCTGCTGTACTACAGGCCCTTTCCAAGCCAGCTCACGCTTGTTTTCTCACTGGTGTAAGATGTCTCGTGAGTGGTCTCAATTTTGCAGTACGCATCTGGGTGAAGTTCATTGCATTTCTGAATTCCCATTTTAGTTGGAATCTGCATACTTAGCTCTGTTTTTCTGATTTATTTTTTTTTTTAGGGATATGATTGGAAAAGTTGATGCTACTTCTCATTTTTGTCACTGCAGAGATTCTTCCTGTCTGATTGTCTGTTCTCTCCCAGCCTTTTGGATGTCTACAGGGCTTAGCTTTCCAGGAAAAAAACCTGTCATCTTTACAGTTGTGATATGCAAGGCATGATAGATAAATGATGGAATCTCTGTGTGTATGTTACCTTATGAATGTTGGGGTTTAATTACATGAAATTAATGTCCCAAAAGACATCCTGTTCACTCGTTAGATTTTTACTAACTTTTTTAACCTCTTAAGATGAACAAAAGTGCCAGAGTTTACACAGACAACAGACCTCTACTGTATGTCCTGATCTATTCAATTTAGAACTCTTCAGCACAAACATAAAGCCTTGTATCCCATGTGCTGAGAAACAGGCTGGATGCCTTCCAAATATATCTGAAAAAGATGTTGGAAACAAAACAAACGCTTTCCTTGCGATGTAGCTGTTGAAGGTGATCATCTGCCGTGACCTGCTTGGATGGTGCTTGAACTCCAAGGTTCCTGTCGTGGCTGAAAATGTGCAACACCAATGTCTGCTTATTTAATGCGCAGAGTTTCCGTAACTAGTAAATGCAACACAGCTTATCGCAGAAAACTCTCCTCCTCTCTGCCCGCTCTGGAGAGGTCTTAAATCATGATAGAAACTGCTTAGCATGTCAATAGTCTGTAAAGCTTTGAAAATAATTTCCAAGGCTATATAACTGTCAGAAGAGAACATCTATCTTTTAAGAGCTCTTTGGCTTAGGTATGAAGCAACTCTTGGACAATGCACAGGATTTTCTGGATAGAAGATGGACCTGTCTGAATCTGCTCTTATTTTCTTGCTCTCCTCTCCGAGGATGCTTTGCTGCAGAGCTGTGGCCGTTAGGGTAGTTTTGGAATTCCCTCTTCACTTTGCATTTGCAAATGAATGCGTATTTAAAATGAGCGACTAGGACCTGGAGGTTTATCTGGTCTGCAAGCATGCTTAACTAAAACTTTGAACCACTTTGAGCTTCCCTCCTGTCCATGTTTGTAGCCCTGAGAACAGATGTTGCCACCGGAGTATCTCAACTGCTTTGCGTGCTCTTGAGGAGGCTGCTGCTTTAGGTTTCTGTTGACAGGTTTCAAGGAAAATTCCTAACTACCAAGGGAGGAAACTAACATTGCATTTGGATTGTATTTGTGGTTGTACTGTGTTGTCCTGCTCTGAAGTTTTTTGAGATTAAATAGTTTTTATTGGATAAATGCCCCAAAGTTTTTTGCTTCAGACCACTCTTCTGGTGTGGTTTAGCAACTGTCATCTGCTGCTAATGCTGTGTAGATGCATTGAATTTTTACTGGAACAAACTAAATTACTACTCTATAAAGAGATTGATGTTCCTGTCCACAATTTGCTTCCTTAAAGGTGCACAATAAATCTTCTTTTTTGGTAGTCTGAGACACAGTTGGCATAGGTATGGCTGATCCTCTGCCACTTTCCTTTTCTCTTCTGCTCTTTTAGGAGAGTGCGTGCAGGGATCTGGTCTTCAGCCTTCATCTGCTGAAGGCGTGAGTCCAACTTGCACCTTTTGGGTTGCAAAATGACAATTATTGCATAACAGGGATACTGCCAGCTGACTTCTTGCTTTCACTGGGACTCTGCTCAGCGATGATTGTTGTTTGAGCCAGTGTGTAGTGGAACTTTTATAATGTGACTCTGATACAGCCAAAAATCACTTGTGTCTCATCTCAGCCTTTCGCAAAATTGTTTCTGGCAACTTGCTCCTGTTTGAGAAGTCAAATGACATTGATTTCACCACCCCCGTACCTTTGTTTTGTAAGCATGCGGAATTACATCCCTGTAAAGACAGTATTTTTAACCTGAAGATGGCACAACTTGGGTAGATTCATCTAAACGTCACTTGTGACTTGGTAAACGAAGGGCTGCTCCTGAGAGCAGGAGAAAAAGGAGACCTTAGGCTGCTCTAATTTGGATATGGTCTGAAAGATTTTTTTTTTTAAACACCCTCCTTCTGTCTCATCCTTTTTGTACCGCACTGTCTGCAGTACACGGAACAATGTACAGCCTTGGAGATTTTCAAGGTAAAAGGGAGTAATCACTTCAGGCAGACTCTGTGGCTGAAGTTATCTAAGTGTGAAATACAGCCAAATAATGAGATGTTTGTATTATAATAATCAAACTAAGAGAATTAATTTTTAAATACTTTCACACGAGCTTAAAAGTACCTATTGACTTTTAAAATATGTTGTTGGGACCTACTGATAGAAGAAAATAGTATCTCTGTAGCGATTTTGCGTATAATGTTCTACATAGTAATTGGAAACTCTGGTGTGTACTGTTCATGAAGACTGTGTAGGCTTCCCGTGAAGAGAACTCGCACATTTTTCACACCCTGTGTTTGTCAGGTTTGTGTTGGAAGAAGTAGCATATGGTACATGTAACTGTGTGATGTTTGAATTTATTTTTTTTTAGATGAAATTGGCGCTTGCCTCTCCTACTGGGAATAGCATTACAGGGCGCTATTTCTTTAGCTCTGGAAGATTTCTTTTAGTTTTGGAGTGTCTGATAAGTATCAGAAGCTAATTCTGTTTGCCTTCAGTTGCTGATGAATATTAGAGAAATCCTAGACCACAGTGCTTTGTGTTCAGATCTTGTTTGGATCAGTAATGACAAAACTACTGCAAAATGGCTGGTTGCTGCCTGTGGGAAACTGCTCTGGAACTTGAGCAAGGCTGCCAGATGGGAAGGAACTGCGGTCCCGATACCAGCCCTGCTATCCTCGGAGCACAAACCCTGATAAGCCTGCACACCACCACTTGTAATAGATCTCAAAAGGAATTATTTTTCTCATCCCCACCCCTCTTTTACAGATAACGGAAGACTTTTAATCTGATCACAAGAAAATTGGCCGAGTAGTGTTTGTTGTGAAACCTGCGTACCCCAGCCCTGTTCTTTTGCTGGGCAGCTCTGGCTTGTAGTTCAGCTAATGGCAACAGCAGGGCAAGTAATTATGACAGCTACTTTAATGGTGTACACAGTTTGTACACCCGTATGTACGCTTGATTTGCGTTTCACCGCAGCAGGGCCATCTTTCGAGTCTGCACAAATATTGACAGTCTCAGACCCTTGGGCTTGGTGTTCGTGAAAAAAGGAGATAGTACCCTTAAGCAGGTAGCTGGTTTTGACCGAGTGTGGGTACATGAGAAAAATGCAGAAGTATGCCTTCATGTATGTCTGTATATATATATCAATTTGTCTGTCTCGTGTGCATTGCATTCATTCTTGTGTGGTACCTCACAATCCTAATTAGTGGGCAGTAAAGAGGTGGCTGATGAGCAAAGACCTAAACAAAACACTGCAACAAAAAGCAGTTCATCTTGGTTTTTAAGGGAACACTGATATCTCTTCAAGGAAAAATGCCGTATACTTAACATTTATATCAACAGCAGTCTTATATTGACCACCCCAGACACTGACGTGATTTCTCGTCCTGTTGGGTTTTGGTTTGGCGTGTCTCAGGAGGAGATAGTTTAAATGGGTTTATGCATAATGCCATTAAAATGGGTTGGGCATGCTAGCTTTTTCCCACCTCCTCTGCCCCTCTTTGGGCACAGCTAAGAGCAAAGTGGAAGACTGTGGTAACCAGTTGAGGGATGTTTTTTTTTCTTAACGTGTTGATGTTTGGCGGTGGTTTGCAATAATTCATGCTCAGTTACGCAGCAGGCTGAAACTCAGTAACGAGTGGATGTACTCGCTGTTATTTCAGAGCATGCTGACTGAGATTTATAGATGATTGTGTATGGTGACTGATGAGCAACGTTCTTAGATTGGTTCATGACTTCAGTGCTAAGTTTATTGGGTTTTTTTTAGGTCTACTTACTAATAGTTGAAACAACTAAAACTTGGCCTGCATGTTTATCCTTCTCCATTCTTATGTCTCCAGTAAAACAAAATTGAACTTTGCCTTTTGACTGTAAGAGCTAGTGAGTTTTGCGTTTTTAAAGCTTCTAAATTTAGATTATTCTCTTGTCTTACAGGCTGCTATATGGCAAGCACTTAACCACTACGCTTACCGCGATGCAGTGTTCCTTGCAGAAAGATTATACGCAGAAGGTATGTAGTTTGCAAATATAAATTTGATGCTTTTTTCAATTTTGATTTAGGATTTTTGAGCCTCTGGTCCTGCTTTGTTTTACTCCTGTTGTTGTGATAATGAAGTTTATCTTTCTTCTTGGGGAAAGCGGAAGAATGCCTCGCAATTAGGTTGGAAAATCAAATCATGTAACAGCAGCAATGTTATTTTACAGTGAAACCTCCTTTAAAAAAATTAAACTCAGAGTTGTGTGTTTAAGTACAATGTGTATGGTGATTTGTTGTATCAAATGGGAGAGAGGGTTTTTTAATAACCTTAAGCATGGCATGTCTTCCAAGGACACATAAGGACAGATGCAGTACACAAATTCTACAAATTGCCTTGAGATTGAAAGCTCTTAGCTAATAATGCTGTTCAGATATGTTGATTGGTGTGTTAGCTAAAAGAGACAATCTTATGATGATGAGAGAAAAGCGTAGTGAAATTAAGACAATGAGAAGCAGAACATATGGGATAGGTATCTCCTGTTGAATTCTTGTTAATTGTTCCTTCATTGTAGTGCTGTCAGATCTGGGATGTCTTGGATACTGAGCAGGCAGCAGTAGCACAAATCTGTATGCTTCCTGGGTCCTTCAAAGACCACTTTTTTCTCGTGTTCTAGTCCCTCTTCTTCCTTAACCTTTCCTCCATGACCTTGGATAAGCTTTCTGTTCTTCTCTACTTCTTGCTTCTCAGTACTGGTATTCAGCTTTTCTTCTCTATTTTAAAAGGTATTGTCCCCTAATCACTAATGTGAAAAAACCCAACCCGTAAGCTAAAATATAAGCATAATATAATTTCTCATGCTAAACAACTTGATCTTATAATGCGAATTAAACTGTATAACTGGTTTCATACTCGGTGTTTTGTAATGAAACGTTTTGCTTTCAATGTTTTGCCTGACATGCCCCCAATGCACTTCTGAACAACGGAACCGCAAACCTAATTTTTGAGAAGTAAAGACTTCCCCCTCTTCATGTCAAGGTTACCCATGAAATCTGGGTCTTCCATCTGGTGCTCTAAATGAGGTGTTGTGTAGAGTATTACGGAACCTTATAATCTAGGTGTGCATAAAGGAAATAGTGTTTTAGGGATGACATATCTCCCCTGAACACAGCACATTGTGAGATGCAGGGAAACGGTGGATTGAAGGTAATTGCCAAGGATGTAGAAATGAAGAGAATCACTTTTTGCAGCAGCCGAGAGAAAAATAGGAGTCTACTGACGCTATCTTTGCAGAATAATACTGTGTGAGAGTACTTCAAACAGCTTTTTTCAGTGACCAGCAGTGCTGAGAGAGAACAGCATGCATGCTGTCACTTGGTTCAAGCAATTAGCTGCTAACAAAACATCTGGCTTCTGGTTAAAATAAGTAGTTATACTGCAGAGTAGAAGCTGCTGAACTTGAATACAGTGACTCCATATTGACAGTAGTGATTTTACCCTGACAAGAACTTCTTTTAAGTCCAGCTGCAGTTACTGTCCTTGTGGGGACATCTGTGGCTTGGTAGTTTCCCAGATCTCTTAAGTGTGTTAAATTAGTGGATAAAAGAATTGATTTAACTTTCATTTTCAAAAAAGATCTTGCAGTGTTTTTAGGATAAGGCTAATAAAATGTCTTCTCTTTAGGTCTTCAGTTTCTATTGTCACTGTCTAGGTGATGACACGAACTTAAAATGGTCGGGTTTCGGTGTGGCAAAGGATTTGAGCAGGTTGCCCAAAGAGGCTTTTGTATAGTGCTCGTATAGATTTTTCTGAAGAGTTCCATGGAGGTAGATGAACAAACATCAGAATTGTTTATTTTAATGCTAAATTCTATTTGCATGGTAGTGTGTTCTGAAAAGTATAAAGTGATGTGGGTTTCTTAATTGTTTGGAGATTTATGCTGGTTGCCTTTACAGACAGCCTTTCTTTGATTTAAAGTACGTCATTGCATAAGGGTGATTTGAGTGTAACATTTGGGGAAGTACAAAGAATAGGGTAAGACACCATGGCTGTACATAATCTGTGAGTGTATCTGGATATCTCCCTCTTTTTGCTTAAAACCCAGAAAACAGAGTGAAAATGGAGTCATACGGATACTTCACAAAATCGTAGCTTAATGCTTGAATTAACACCACAGCATAGTAACGATCACTGTTGCCTCACAAAAGCACATTCTACGGTGTTTAGAGTTTCAGCTGATAATTTTACAGTGAGGTTTTGAAGTTACTTCAGGGGTTAGCTCTGTGTTCTTTATGCTGTAATCACAATAAAATTCACAGGTCTGTCCTCAGTCTTAAATCTGGATGCCAAGTCAAGCTCTTTGAACAGAACATTGTTGGTGCAGTACATAATTCATCTCCGCAATGGAAGAAGCGTTGAAGCAGACATCAAATCTAAATACTTCCAGTTTCAGCCATAGAGAAATGTTTCTGTCTCGATTACTCTTGTTCTGTGTTCAGATAGAGGTGATTTTTTTCTGAAGCTTGACTGCATCATTCAGAATTTAGAAACTTGTGAGTACTCAACTTGGGAAGAGGATTTGTAGGAGAGCTTGTCCTTATCACTGCTTCCTAACATAAAATAAATAAAGCATCTGAATGGTAGTGTTAAGCCATGCTCCCAATGAAATATTGGGTGTGGGCAGCAAAAAGGACAAGAGTTAATGTTGGGGTAGAGGTGACTGGTAGTTGACCGACTTTTAATAGTCATTAAAATCAGAAAATCTGCTCCACTAAGTCTTGTGAAGATAGAGTATCAAGTCCTTTAGAAAAATAACAGAAGTAAAGTTGCTAACAGGAAAAGGTCACTTGACATTAGCATTAAAACTATTAGTTAGGCTACTTAGGGTGAAATAGATCTTCCTTCTGAAAGTTCTGGTACTTCCTAAAAGGCGTTGTTGTGCCGGTGTTTATACACTTGCTAAAGCTAGTGCAAAGTGTTACTAGCAGGTGTGATACTACTCTGAGCCAAGTCTTGGTGTGACCAACAAGTTGTTAAAGTAGCTTTGGCCTACCAGGAATGACTGCCTTGCTTGACTTGCTGTTATTTTAACAAGCTCGCTAATCACTTATTTAGATCGGGTAGCCAGAAGCATCAAAGTTCTCTTACAACAGTAGATGTTAAGAGTTGGTCTGACCATACAGGAAAATGGCATATGGAAGTCTGTTGTATGCTGACAAATGAAGAAATGCACTTCATTCAGTAATGGATTTCTCTAATATCAATACTTGTTTTCTTGTATCTTGTTTCTAGCTGACCTTTACTCCCTACCCCCAAATTCCTTGTATCAAAATCGTAAACGACCAACTGATGATTTTTTTTAATTGATTTTTTTAGTACATTCAGAAGAAGCACTGTTTTTACTGGCAACGTGTTACTACCGCTCAGGAAAGGCCTATAAAGCATATAGGCTCTTAAAGGGACACAGCTGTACTACCCCACAATGTAAATACCTGCTTGCAAAATGTTGTGTTGACCTCAGCAAGTAAGTAAATCTTTTATGTTCTGTCCAGGGTTACAAATGCCTTTTTTTCTGTTTATTTGGATTTCTCTCTAAAAGCTGTCATATTGCATAAACTAGTGACTAATTGGTTCTTCAGCTCTGAAGATTATTATAAGTTCAATTCATATTGCTTTCAGATATGGACTTAATGAACATTAGCCCATATTGCAGAAACTTCTAAAAGGTATTGAATAACTTACAAAGGAGTCATCAAACTTTGTAGAGGGAGAAAACATTGATTGCCAAGATGACTGAAGGGGACCACTCTGGGAAGTGGTGTTTTGGTTTTGTGTTTCTCTGATACTTTGCTTATTTCATTAAGTGTTTCCAGTATGAGTTTAATGGGTAGGCTACTTGCCTCAAACAGTCAGCTTGCTCCTCTTACCCAGTTACTGCTAATGGGTGGGTGAGGGAACAGATGGCAGACAGGAATTTGTTGGTTTTAAAAACCCACAACAAACCCACCTTGAATCCACATCCAAGAATGCTGTATTCAACATCAAAATTAACCTTGACGGGATTCCTTTAAATATTATGGGGCTAGAGTGACATAGTAGTGTCAAGGTATCTCGCTGGTTTTCTGGAATCTAACAGCAAGAGTATGTAATGAAATTGCTTGAGCTGCAGACCCTAATGCCCTGCGAGTTTGTTAATGAGGATATTTCACTTCTGTGTAGACCTTTCAGCTCAAACGTAGGAGACAATGTCTGGCTGAGGTGCGGAATGGAGAGAATGAGGCACCAAGAAAAGCAAAAACTTTTGTTCAAAAAAAAAACTTTAAATATTATGGGGCTTCTTTACAGAAACTCAAATGTCTCTCTACAAAACAGCTTGTGGTTATGTGTTGTGGGGTTTTTTGGCTTGTTTTTTTTTTGAGTGGCCCTCTTTCAATGACCAGAAAAGAGAGTTTGGTTTCTTTAGGTGAGGTGATATTTGGAGTTTCACATAGTGTGATGTGATTATTTTGCAGGATTTGTGATCCTGCTCACAACATGTAACCAAAATGCAGGCCTCTCCAGAGGCAGCAGGGGAAGCTCCTTTAGTCTTTGATATTCTCTTTAGCACGTGAGTCCTTTAACATCTTTAGAGTAGTGAGGATGTCTTGATTTTTTTTTTTTTGTTTCTTTTGACACTTTTGGAGCTATTAGGATACAGGTTTCTTTGCATCTTCCATTGAAAGGGAAATCACGTTAATGCTCTACTTGGAAAGATCCCAGTGGAGTAAATTTGAAGCTGATCGTTCCCTCCCTTGCTTTTACAAAGTCTGGTGTGTGCATATAGTACATCAGCTTCTGAACTGATTTCAGTTAGATGGGTGGGATTTATTAAACGTATTCTTTAGCACTTTTTAAATTTAACTGTCGTTGAGCTAATATAACTGTAACAGCATTTATACAGATGTACCTTATTTTCTTGTGGGAATGGTCTATACGGATAGAAGCATCTGCCTGCAAGTATAATTTCAGGTGGAGGCAAGAAGAGGTGATTTGTTTGTGCAGGTGTCGGTCTCAAATGCCAGAAGAATGCCTCCCATCCCCAGAAGTTGTATAAAGTAATTTTCAAGCCTAGCAGCGAGCGGCCTGTTTCATGTGAGCGGTACCACTCGCTGCAGGTGTAGTAGATGCAAACCAAGCCTTGTTCTCCTTTTGAGCCCCTCTTGCAAGAAAGCAAGGCAGTAAAATCCAAAGTCTGTGCCATTTCCCAATATCGGATCTTAATTGAGTGCATGGAGCCTTACAGATTGTGTTTCTTGGTAGTGAAACAAAGCCAAACTAAGTGTTGTCTTGGCTTGTTACTAGGTAACGTACCTTCAAAAATGAGGTGTCTAGAAGGCTTTCTTGTTCTCCGTTTAGTATTCTACCTGAGATTAGTCACTTCTGCAAAAGTCATGTTTTAGTACATGTCTCTGGTTTTGGAGTGGTGTGGGGTTTTGGGTGGGTTTTGTTTTTCTTCCATCCCAGTAGAGACGTTCTGCTTTGGAGTACTGCATACCTCCATGTTTCCAGAGGAATCCATCAGTTATTTAAAATTCATTTGCAGGAACTAGTTTGTATGTGCCTTGAAACTTGTGAACACTGACAGTGAATTTCTGTTTCTGTTTGCAGCAGGGTGAAAACACTGGACTACCAATACTGTGAGCCTTGTAACCCCTTTAAACCTTTTGTTTTTTAAAAAGGCTTGCAGAAGGAGAGCAGATCTTATCTGGTGGAGTGTTGAATAAGCAGAAAAGCCATGATGACATTGTTATGGAGTTTGGTGACTCTGCATGCTTTACACTCTCCTTACTGGGACATGTCTACTGGTAATGTTGCTTTTTTATTTTGTCTGATAAAGCTTGGGATTTTTTACTTGACCAAGCCTAATTTCAGTCAAATATGTTTTTAGTCGCCACAGGGTACACCTGTCTCTGGGTTATATGGCCTGCACAATTTCAGAGGATGATAGATGCAGGTAGATAGTTTTGGAAGCCATCTAACCTGGGAATGCAGAAATGGTTTGTGTTTCATCCAGAACTTCTGGCTGACTGAAAACACAAATTCCTCTTCTCCAGGTGGTTACGGCATGCAATCCAAGAGTCGGTTTTTTTTATACCTTTGGGTTTGTTCTGTATTCTTCCCTGAGAGAAACTCTCAAGGCCTGTTTCTCAGTGTTGCCATTTTGATTTTTTTTCCTGTATCTGTTTTACAGATGTATAGCTATAACCTTCATATGAAAGTTTTGAGGACTGCTGGTCAGCATAACTTTACAAATTTAAGTGTTTTGCTTTTGCCTAGATACAAGAACGGTTTCGGTAAATGTGAACAGATTGAATAGTAATAGTGACATTCTTGGATTCTTCTCTAGTATACCTGTTCTCAAAAAAGCTTATTTGTAGCCAGATACTTCGGTGTTCAGTTTAGCCCTTAATTTATATGCAAAAATATTATCCATAGATAATTTAAAATGCCTGGAAGGTCTAGCAATCAGGTTGCTGTTTGCAAAAAAGAAAAAAGCTGTTGTGAAGAACAGCATCTTTCTAAAACAAAAATTCTCCAGCTATACTAGCGCTGATGTAACAACTTCTTGAGGACTGTGTCTAAGTAACTTTCATCTGTGTCTAAATATGTCAAGTAAGTTCAAAAGAACTCAGTATTACTCTGTGGCTTGAAAAATGAGGAATGTTGCTGTGACTCTCAACATGTTCTTGTTTTTCAACTCCACTTCTGTTCAAGAAACCTTTCCAGAAGAGCAGTTCTTATATTTCCCTATAAACTGTTACATTCTTTTTGCAGCAAGACAGACCGGCTTGCCAAAGGATCAGAATGTTACCAAAAGAGCCTTAGTTTAAATCCTTTCCTCTGGTCCCCTTTTGAATCGCTATGTGAAATAGGTAAGTCTGCAGAACTGTTTTACTAGTGAAGATACTTTTTACGTTTCTGGTTATATCAAGCTTTGTGATTTGCCATCGCCATGTGGCAAGGTTTATTTTAGTCGTTGTCCAGAATTAGTAAGGAAAATGCAGCGGAATTCTTTGGGAGCGGTTTTGTGAGCAATAATTCATTTTAAATGTTTTGCCAGTGTTTAGAGTTTTTGTCTTTTTTCTTCCATTTTCGCTACTTACGCATTTTTGGGTTTAACAATACACGTTTTCCAACCTGCACTTAGTAGACCCTTAGAAACTGTACTTCTGAAAGTAACTTAAAAAAGCAAATCTGGTTTTTAATAAAACTGATTGTCCAGATTTGTAGTGGAAGAACACTCTTGATTTAGAGTTAGGGGTTTTAAAACAATAAAATAAGAATGCACCCCTTCTGAAATACTTTGTTTCCTGTCCTCCTTGTTTCAAACTGAATATTCAGCATATAGACTCAGGAATAACTCTGTTAATCTCCTTCCAATCTTACAGGTGAAAAACCAGACCCTGACCAAACATTTAAATTAACATCTTTACAGAACTTCAGCAGCTGTCTGCCTAACACTTGCACAACATTGGTATCTAATCACAACATATCCCATAGACAGCCTGAGACTGTCCTCATGGAAACGCCGCAAGACACAATTGTGAGTTTTGCTGAAATCGTTGTATTTAAAGCAGTCTTTCCAGCTTAAGTGAAAAATGCTAATTAGCAGCTACACTGTGTGGTTATCTAACAGCTGCCTCCCGTTTTTCAGGAGCTGAACAGAATCAACCTAGAATCCTCCAATTCAAAATATTCTTCCTTGAATACGGATTCTTCTATGTCTTACATTGACTCGGCTGTAATTTCACCGGATACTGTCCCTCTTGGGTCAGGAACTGCCATATTGTCTAAACAGGCTCAAAATAAACCAAAAACTGGGCGGAGTTTACTGGGGGGACCTGCGGCTTTGAGCCCACTAACTCCAAGGTAAGTCCATGAGACGGACAATTTCTGTGTATCGCTGTGCTGTTCATAGCACTTGTGATTTGAAACAGGAAAGTTGTCTGATGCTGTGCAGCATACTTGAACAAGCATGTTGATAGTTTATTATAAATAGTGCTGCAGAAGCAAAGGCTAAACAACTTCAGTAACTGCTCTTGGTTCTAATGTTCATCTCTTCTGTGTTTTAAACGAGCCGTTGGTATTTTTGATTAGAAGAAAGGAACTCTTGATTCGGTATATTGCTTATTGTAATATTCACACTGGAAAAAAATCTTTAAAGGAATGTATTTCTGCCCTGGAATAAACTTTATTATGAAAAGCTGCTCTTAAGAGCTTTCCTTGAAGAATAGCGCTCTCCTAAAGAGCATGTAAACATATGCTCAGTCCTATATGCCATCTTGTTTAAACAGCGTTCTGTTACAAGCCATTAATACTTGGATGGTCTGTATCTATTAGTTATTATGCAGGCAGGCAAAGAAAGTTCTGTATCTTTCGATTTCAGGAATAAGAATGTTTTCTATTAAAGTTTTTTTTTATAGATGAGGGTAGTAAGATATTAGAGGATTAACAGAAATCAATGAGGTAGTTCTGAAAGTTGATCATTTAGGTCTCTGTTTTAACCACAGAATCAGGCCGGCTGTCATGGTCTGATGTTCAGACATTCACCCTTCCTCTTCATTTTGTTCTCAGCTTTGGAATTTTGCCACTAGAAACCCCAAGCCCTGGAGATGGATCGTATTTGCAAAACTACACAAACTCTTCTTCTGTAATTGATGTGCCATCCACAGGAGCGCCTTCAAAGAAGGTATCTTGCATTCTGGAGTATGATTGCTGAGTTTGAGACTACAGTGTACTTTAAAGAAGAATCCATAATGCAGATTAAAAAAAACTTTCATGTGAGCTGAATTGAGCTGACAGTGAGGAGAACCCAACTTATCCACTGTTTACAAAATTTGTTTTGGAAAACAATTTGAGTGTGGAACTGATTGCAACCTCCTTTAGTTGTGGAAGTGATTTGGGTTAATTAAGTGAGAATTAAATTTATGTATAATTTGTCTACAAAGTGTGTGTTTGAGGAAAAAAAAAAACCACACAACCAAAAAAGACCACCAACACCCCACCAAAAAAAACCCCTGCACTTACTAACAATTATTTAATGCAGCAAAATAAAATGTGCACCAACTTCTCTGTATTTATAGGCTAGTGATGTTGGGGGTGCAGGGAGCAGTTTATTTTTGATTTGACTGCAGCTGGTCAGGTATTTCCCTGGCAAAACTTTTTAGACTTTTCTGAAGTGTTAGTTAAAATCAAATTCATTGTGGAACAGTCTGTTACATTGAAGCAACTGTTTCTAAAGCCTCAGTATTTTTTTTTTTCTATTTTGAAAATCTTCTTTTCAGCTAAACGAATGAGGCAGCAAGAAAAAAAATACACCGTATTGCAAGTAAAGACATCTGCATTGTAAATATTTTCAGCTTATCATGTCACTTCCTTTGGCTAGCGAACCAGATTTTTGTCTTCTCAGCTTTTATAATGATAAGCAATAGTCTTTTATTTCTAATTAAAACAAGCCCTTTTTTCCCCACCCGAAATGCAGAGGCACGTACAGACTGCCTAGCTGGTGCTGCTAGAGGCAACCTGAGCAAGGTGCTTTATCTTCTGCCACCTGGAATGTACAAACAGTGATCCTTCTAAACAACAAAGGATTCATAACTTTTCAGTGTGTAAGGTGGAGTCCGAAGACAGTCCAAACTTGGCAGTTTTGACTTTAAGGGTTTTTTTTAATTAATGTATTTTCAGGGATGACTTCAAATAATCTGAGAAGCCTCAAGTGAGCTGAAGCTACTGCTTTCTTGCAAGCAGTTCTTGAATTCTTTTTTACAGACCAGAGTAATCAAAATACTGCTGGTGGTCTGCGGAGGGCTGACTGATAGAATGGTGCTGTTTCACTCAGCCTAGTCTTGTGTAGGGGAAACTAAAAATTGTCTTTTTTACTCTGTAAGAAACTGCCATAGTTGCCATAGTGATAAATGAGAGGTGGAGCGTTGGTGACAGTTGAAGAACCATTTGTTCCTTTCTAAAACCAAAAAAACCTGAGGTTTTGTCCCTGTATTTTTACTAAAAATCTAGAAGTTGCATGAGGGATGCTGGTGTCTTATAGAGTAGCCAAACTCTTTAAAGTAAAAACTCAGCGCAATAAGTGTTGAATTCCTCAAAAAGTAGAACTTGAATTTCCGCATTTGATGATCTGGACAAATCAGTTGGTGCTCATCTTGCTGTGCCATTTTGTAAGTGAAGTTTGGGTGCTGTTAAAAACAGTGTTTATCTTCTCTAATTGGCCCGATACTTAAAAGAATAAAAGCAGTAAGCAGATAACTTTTTTTTTTGCCCTTTGAATGGTCTGCTGAAGCCTGTGACTGGGAACTCTGGAATCTCGTTGCACGAGCCATTATGGTATCCTGTCTCCAGACATCTCATTACTGCAACACTTTTTATCAGTTCTCTTAGCCTTGCTTGCTTTTTTTCCTTTTCTTTTGGGACTGGACTGTGCTAAACCAGTCTGCTAGAAGTATGCTTTCTTTGGTTGATCCAGTTCCCATCCTGTAGTTGCTCAGGACCAACCAGTTTTCCACAGTACAGTTGAAAACACTGACTGTGCATATGTAGGAAGGTAAATTTTCATGAGTCTGAAAAACTGCAATAGTTGGCAAAGTGCAGCTCTTCAGTGTAGTACTAATCTGCATTTAATGTCACATGTGTAGTATGTGCTAGATGAAAAGCTTTGGGGAATCAAATTCTATTTGCTGCTTATTTTGTTGCTTTGCTAGGTATGGCACAACAGTGCCCAGGTATAAATTTCACTAATCCATGCCTGTGCTTTCTGCCCAGCTACCTATGTGCTACTAACTAAATACAAATATTTAATACATTTTAATAAACAGCTTAGAATTCTGATGCATGCTTTGTCCAATGCAAATAATTACTTGGCCAGTTTGATTTCTGCTCTTCAAATTACCGAGTTAGAAAAGGTTTAGTGTAACTGTGGCTAGAATGTGCATGACTTAACGGAGGCAGTTTCCTAGGAAACGCTTACGTAAATGAATGAAACGTTAGGATGAATCCAAAGGCTTCCTATCTGAGTAGGCAAGCATGCTTGCTGGCTGCCTAAACTGTCCTCTGATAACAAAGAAACTGAGAAGGGAAGGGAAGGACAGAATGTTAGAAGTCAGATGATGCATAAACTGATGTTGCTTGTGCTGTCATTGATCCCGCTTGCCCGTTTCTGGTGCCTTAAAGAACATCTCTTCCAAACAGCCTGATCAGTGTTGAACGTTAGTGTCCCTGGAGTGGGCAGAAAGATAGGGTTTAAGCTTTCTTTAAAAGGCAGGGAGGGGAGGACCTGTCCTGAATCCTTTATAGGAAGTCTACACCTCGGCAATCAATTTCTATCTGAACTTGGTTCCGTAGGTCTCAGCTTCACAGCCAAGTTATCGCAGCTCTGAGTTCCCACACCTCGGCTGTGCCAGGGTAGGCATCAAAGTGCGCATTTTAGCGCTCTGAAAATGTGTGAAGATACAAGACAATGTTTTGGTGCTAAGTCATATTACATGCTGTGTAACTTGGGGCAAATAAAGTACAAAAAATGTGCGTGTGCTCACGAAGAGTTACTCAACTGACACGCAGTAACTTGCTGCTCCATGTTAACTTGACTGTAGGTATCTGCCTGTTAACTTTCTATGCTGCATAATGCAGGTCTCTTTGATGAAGCAGTTTATTTCTGTATCTGGTCCAAAGGCTTGTGCAGTACTGATTTAATTTGTGAAATACTGATTTATGCTATGAATGGGTGCGCGAAACAGGAGAGTGTCAGGGTCGGATGTTGTACAGTGTGCACTTCAGTGAGGTGTTAATGGTGAATGGCTTCTAGATGTGATTGTAATATGGTAATTCAAAAATCTTTTTCTTTCTGAGGTTGGTTTTTCTTGCACAACTTTCTGTGGAGAAGGAGTTTTAAATATGGCATCTTTTAATTCCTTTTTATTCTTGCACAAATATTTTAACATGTAGTTCCTTGCCACTAGATGGAGATTTTATATCTTTCAAATAATGTGCATAAAGTTGGTAAACTCAATGTTACTGGCATTTTAACAGGTAGGATGAGAAATAGTTTTGATGGTTGCTCCTTGGGTTGGGGCGGAACCCTCACCCTTTGTTGAAAGAATGTATATTTATCCTCCTTTGTGCAGTGTTTGATAGGCAGAATGGATTTGGCTTGGTATAGCAGAGATTGAGACTTTTTAGTGACATAATAACAAACCTGTAGAAACTTTGTGTTATGCAGACTGTCAGCAGGATAAGCCAAGCTGGAACAAAATCTGTCTTCTCACAGAGCGGAAATAGCCGGGAAGTCACTCCAATTCTTGTTGCACAAACACAGAGCTCTGGCCCACAGACAAGGTAGGGAGGAAAAACAAAAATCATCTTGGTATTAACTTTTGCATCTCCTTTCTTGAAGGAATTTGGCATTTCATTTGCCCAACTTGTGTGGATGTTCCTGCAGAATTCCTCTTTGGATGAGGAAGAAATGTATTTTTTTTGTTGGGTAAAATAACTCCAATGTATAAGTAGGAAGCTCATGCATGGTGGTTGGTCTGGTTTTTTTAAATCTCCTGTGCAGTTAAACCATTTCATCAGTAGATGAAAAAGTAGCTGGAAGGAAAGTCTGCTCATGTTCCTGGCATGCAACGGGTAGATTTGGGTTTTTATCCCTTGAAATGCAAGTATCTGTGCTACATTACTTGAGCATCTTTGTTTAAAACAAATATAAAAGCTGTTTTTATTAAAAATGGAGCAAAAACTTTATTTTTTTTTAATGTGTCGTTTGTTTTCAGTACAACACCTCAGGTATTGAGCCCAACAATTGCTGCTCCACCAAACGCACTGCCTCGAAGAAGCTCTCGCCTGTTTACTAGTGATAGCTCTACAACAAAGGTAACAAACTTCATGCATTTTGGAAACTAGTGGGTTTCTTACCCATGCCACTGTACTGACTAATAATTTCCCCATAAGCATAGCAATTCTAGCAGCTTAAGAACAGGTTCTATAATGAGCAGAACTTATGAAATATCTGGCGGTACAAAACATGTTGTTTTGTATATAACAATATGTTATTTATTAAGCTCTCAAGTGCTCAACTAAAATAGCAGGAAGAAGGATATCATGAACAAAACCAAAGATACATGTTGTGTTGACAAATGCAGTGGTGCTGCTAGCTGTCAACCCATTTGAAAAGAGGTCGTGTTGTTCAGACACATTTATTGAAGAATTCATTTTAGGCTGATTTTTGCCCAAACAAATTCATTTTCATATCTGTTTTCTGTTCTTCAAACAACAGAGCAGAACACCAAGGCACAAATACTCATGAGCTGTACTTAGGCGATGTGAACGTTTGCTGTTTAAAAACGAACTATTAAACATTCAATGGAGTTATTACGTGCCTGTGTACATAAGTTTAAAAGTCAAACAACTGGGCATCGTTGTTAAAACTGCAAAGAGACATAAATGTAATTTTACACCATTCACTTTCAAGTTTAGTTTTCTGAATTTAAAAGGCTTTTTATATGTAACTCTTACTCTTCTTACTTGCAGGAAAATAGCAAAAAATTGAAAATGAAGTTTCCACCTAAAATTCCAAACAGAAAAACAAAAAGTAAAACAAATAAGGGAGGAATAACTCAACCAAACTTAAATGACAGTTTGGAAATCACCAAACTGGACTCTTCCATTATTTCAGAAGGGAAAATTTCTACTGTTGCACCACAGATCCAGGCTTTTACGCTACAGAAGGCAGCAGCAGGTCTGTTTGAACACTATTGGACTGTCGTAGAGTAAAACTTAGTGTATCTATATTTTAAGGATGAATGGAAAAAAAAAAGTTGCTCTGGTGTTTGCTTCTTTCTTGTTTCAGTTAGCCTGCAGCTATCACCTTTGTATATTTACAAAAACTGGTTGGATTTAATATCTTCTAGTTAACTTACAAAGAACATGTGAAGAAGTGTTGAAAGTGGCTAGTTGTAAGAAGATATATCTTCCAAGCTCTGATCCTTATTAATGTTTAAAATATTTTCAGGCAAGATCCTTGGAAACTGATTCAAAGGAGCTACGAGTAACCCAGTCATCTTCCCTCAAAACTGAGTTTATGTAGTCTGTTCTCCCTTCATATTTCCCACTTGTTTAAAAACAAGTCTTTGTTCGGATTGTCAGAAAATCCTAGGCAAACTGCTGAATTCTTCTCTTTTGGCTCAGTAACGTTTCCAGGCAGCAAGAAGATGTATCCATGGATACCAGACATGTGGAAACTGTGTTCAGACCTAACAAAATGTTTGAATAGCTGCTGTAAATGCAAAACTCCAGTTGCCCTGAACTTCAGAGTTTCTCTGTTCCTGAGGATTCTGTTGCTGGCTTAAGAAGTCATTACTATCTGACTTCTATTACAAAGGTTGATGTTTAGAATATTATGCTGAAGTTAAGAGTGTATAAGCCTGTGTTTGGGAATTCCTGAAAGATTTTCATAGGCGAATTCAGGAGGAGTGCTTGCCACAATGAAGAGCTTATGGGATTAGCAGTTTGAAGGAAATAAGTCTCAGCTGTCTTTTTTTCCACTTTTATTTATTGTGTTTTTCTCCTAGAAGGTTTGATGAGCCTTCTTCGTGACATGGGGAAAGGTTATTTAGCCTTATGTTCATACAACTGCAAAGAAGCGATAAATATTTTAAGCCATTTACCATCCCACCACTACAACACTGGCTGGGTGCTGTGCCAAATTGGGAGAGCTTACTTCGAACTTGCAGAATATATGCAGGTAGGAACTGTGTGGGTTGATTCTTACTCTTTTCGCTTTTGTTTTGCATAGCTTTGCACAAAATCTGCAGTCTTCCTGCAAAAGCTATGGGAAGTTTACAGTTGAGATAATTGTATAAACATAAAAGTTATACCTGGAATAGATTTAGATGTTGAATCTGCATCAGTAGTCATTGAGTCTTCCCAAAGAGGCTGAGTTACACTTTAGATTTCTCTTCGTTTTAAGTTCTTTCCTCTTGCATCCAACCATTGGGGTCTCCTTGCCTCTCCCCATCTTCACCCACAGCTGTGCTGATGCAATTGTTTGTACTGCAATGTTGTAAATTACATCACTAAAACAGTTTGAATTCTAAAACCAGAAACTTCTCTCGCCCTTTTTAGTTAACGCACATCACATCAATGACCTAGTTTCCCTTGCAGCCTCAGAAATGACAGCATTGGCACAGCTGAGGTGATGTCAAACCGCTTCAGAAACAGAAGCGAGCAGTTAAGGGTAATCCAGCAGTTTAACTCTCCTTGTCACTGTTGTCCTGATAACTGATGTGCCTATTTCCTCAGAAGTTTTTAAAACGCTCTTGACAGATTGTGTGCAGGAGACAAATGCGGTAGGTATCAGAAGCAGTTTTTAAACTGTAGACACAGTCTGATTAGAGGTGGAACACACTGTGCTGCTTAATAGTTTATTTTGAAAACTGAGGCTACAGACCCTAATGGTTTCCTGAAGCTAGGCTTCTTCCCTTGTGGCTGCTTTGAGTGTTGTAACCTGGAACTTAAGTTTATGAAATAGATATCTGTGTCAGAAAGACTTCATTAGTCAACTCTTGATAAGAAGCATAGCTGTCTCAAATGAAAGTAAAGCACATATATGTGTTGTCCCACACTTATGCATGCCCTCCATCCCTTTGTCAGCCGTGTTACCTGCAGCAATTGTCACGTTGCCTTTTGCCTTCTAATTGTTATGCACAGTATCTGGAGGGGTGTAGCACTTGGTATGAATGCAATACTTATAATCTGTTAGAGTGGCTAATAATCATAACTGGCCCATAGAGATATGCTATGCTTTTTTCTAATGTTGTGGGTAACTTTTTTTTGCCTTGCTTGTGTGGTATGATAGAAACAGCATAATCGGAGTCCACGATAGGGAGGGCTGGCTGCGTTTCTGCTGGCATAACTGTTGGGGTATAGTCGGTTCCTTCGCTTGAAGGGGAAGTTACAGGACTTGTAGCTCTGTGTAGTACACTTAAAAAGCAAAGAGAATGCTCAGTCTGGACATAGGTCAAGATTAGAAGCCTCCTATCTACTCTGCTTTGGTCGGTTGTTTTAAATTTAATTTCTGTTCTTAGGCTGAGAGAATATTTTCAGAAGTAAGGAGGATTGAAAACTACAGAGTAGAAGGCATGGAGATCTATTCAACTACGCTGTGGCATCTGCAGAAAGATGTTGCTCTTTCAGTTCTTTCAAAGGATTTGACGGACATGGATAAAAACTCACCAGAGGTATGAAATGCTGTAGCCTCGAATGAGAAGAGAGTAACTGTATGTGCCAAAATCAATGATTCAGAACAAAGCTCTGAGCTCTAATCTGGTTCAAGGGTATTCTCCTGTGAGAACTGCATGGCAAAACTGGAGAGGGAGGTGGCAGGATTGTCTGTTGAACTGATGATGCCTGAAATGGCTTCTTAGAATTAGGATATCAGCTTACATGGAACAAGTTGAAACCTTTTATCTGTTAATGGTTATTTAAGTTTGCATTGGCTTCATTTGTCCAGGAAGATCATAGGCTAGTCAGTCACTCCTACTGCTGCCAGTACGCAAAGATAAGGAATATCTTTTTCCTGTACCACCTTTTAATTGCTGTAGTTAATTCACTGGCACTTAAAACATATTTGCTCTAGAACTTATTTGCAGACAGTGTTGCACGCTTTTATGCCAAAGTCCGTTAAACTGCAGAGTGTGTGATAATATAAAGTCATGATACACAAAAAGCCAGGCATCTTTTAATGGGTGCCACAGTAAAAGTGATAGATGTGTGCATTTATAAATGTGTTTTAACAGAGTTGAGAAAACTGTGGGTTATATTGGGATTTTATTTTTGTTGGAGGAGAGAATCCTGTCCATGTTGTCTTGTTAGCTTGTCTAATAGTGGAAAAATCAAAACCAATGAAGCAGTTGGTAGTTGTGGTAAGATAGCGTGGAGAGAAGAAAATACAGGTTGTAATACAAGGACTGGAAAACAGTTATGCGATTTGGCAGTGATGCTAAAAATTTGGGAAAGCAAGGGACCCTGGACTGTGATAATTTGCAATCTCTTGCTCGTTGCTGAGCAGGAGGGCAAGAGGAGGTTGCTGCTAAAATTGTTGCTCTGCAGATTTCCAGATTTGTCAGTTGGAAGGAGCTGAGGAGTGGAAGTGAATGTACCATCTCTCCCTTCATTATTCTTAAATATCTTAAGATGTTTTATTTCTAGCCTTTTCAACAGCTTCAAAAGCTTTAGTTGTTAGTCATTGAAGTATCTAATTGGCACAAACTTGTTGGGTGTCTTTAGATTCTCAATTTCTGTATTTCAGGTTCTCTATCTATAAGATGTATTTAGACCTATCTGCCTCTCAGGAATGAGACTTAACTGTTGTTTTATTATTGTTATATTTAACTTCCTCCTAGATTAAAAAATAATTATGCAAAGCAGTATGGAAAAAAACTGTGACCTCAAACTTAGTCACTCGGAGTTGTAAAAAGTGTGCTAACTTTGCAGTGCTGTTTTTACTAGGCATGGTGTGCTGCGGGGAACTGTTTCAGCTTGCAACGAGAGCATGACATTGCGATCAAGTTCTTCCAGAGAGCCATTCAAGTTGATCCAAACTATGCTTATGCCTACACCCTGTTGGGGCACGAATTTGTGTTAACAGAAGAACTAGACAAAGCATTAGCTTGTTTTAGAAATGCAATCAGAGTTAACCCTAGACACTATAATGCATGGTAAGTTTTGCTTCATCTCCCTCTTATTGCATGTATTACAGAACTTCTTTTGGAGAAATATCTTCCGGGTGCTGCCACTGCTATTGTTTCCCTACCACTCCTCTCTCCAAGAAGACAGCAAAGCTATTTCCGCAGAAGATGCGGGCCTTGTCTGCTTGTTAAAGAGTTACTTTCACAAGGATGGAAAAAATTGGAGATTTTTGGCTTCCACAGATCTTCTTGGCTGTATTACCCCAGCTATTTTGTTCTATTGTGCAGCACTCCTCATGCATCTAGTTGATTGTTCTTCTTTTACAACTTCTTACAACTTTTTTCTTCACTTGCAGTTGGAGAGATGAGAGATCTGGCCCTTTATACCTTAGGATACAGTTAGTTTCTTACAGCTTTTTCTGTAGGAAAAAAACGTATAAAGCAGTAAAAGATCTGCTAGTGTAAGTCACCTAGTCTTGAGAAATTTTTGTATGCTTTCTAGTTTGTAGCTGTTTAGCCAGTCTTCCTGTGTTTCAGATATCAATTCTTCAAAATACCCAATTGAACCAAAAAAAAAAAAAACCAAGATAATTTTAGGACAAAGCTTTTTCCCCCAAGAAGCTGTTTCCCACCCTGGATGGGGTTGGCAAGTCTGTCGACCATTTCTGCCAGGTCATATTCACTGACAAAGACTAGTTTGATTAGAATACAGTCTGTCTTAACAGGATTGTTTTTCTGCTTGCAGGTATGGGTTGGGAATGATTTATTACAAACAGGAAAAATTCAGTCTAGCAGAAATGCATTTCCAGAAAGCACTTGATATTAATCCTCAGAGCTCAGTCTTACTGTGTCACATTGGAGTAGTAAGTAGATTACACTTAACTCTATCCTTGTGTTTTAATCTGCTTCTGTACTTTGTTTGCAGTAGAAAAGTCATTCTGAACGCTTTTAGCAAAAAAAAATAAAAACCAAACAAGTTCAGGGTACCTGTTGGAGGAACTTAAGTGCTGTGTGAATGAATAACCACGGGATTAATGTGTCAGAAAAGAAAGCCTCCTCTCTCTCCAAACTACTTTTAGCCAGTGATGAAATCATACTGTTAGGTCGTATTTGAGAGTCAGCCCAAATAGTAGTGATATGAAAATCAAGACACTGTGCAGATATTAATGTGAACAGAGTATTTATAGAGGTTTTTTTGTATTTAATACATAAGAGATGAAGTGGGGTTTAACTGATATTGCATGCATTTGGACCAACACTTCCAGTTCTTAAAAACGCTAAGACACCCATCTCATCTTTCAGAGTGCGATATTTTTGTCTTGGCTGTATGTCCGCGTTGCCCTCATTCCAGTCCCTTGTGGACGTGACATTGTACTACTTAGGCCGCTTTATGCCAAGTGAAGTTTTAAGTAGCAGGCAACTACTTCAGCTGCCATCTGTTATTTGATCATTTATCTGTCTGCTACTGCAGTCCTTAGAAAACAGTAGCCTCACTCTAGCGAATGCTTGCTTTCAAAGTTGGGAAGCAGTTCTCAGATATTCGTGGTAGTAACTTAAGGCCGTGTAAGTACGATGGATGGTTACCTGCTGGCATTCATTTGCTTTCTGTGTGGCAGCAAAGCTGTGTCAAACTCTACAGGGATAGTGGCTGCTTTTCACTTGTATATGGAGAAAGGCCTCAAGTTCACCCCTGGCCAGAGGTTAAATGATTTCTGTAAGCCACTGGGTAGGGAAAATGTTTTGAGGTGGAGACAGGCGAGGTGAAGTTTTCTTCCTGTAAGAAAGCTTGTTAAGACTTAATCTAGAACTGGACAAATATATATTTTTTTAAAGGAACAGGTTGTAAGTGGTCTAGAACTGGACAAATATATTTATATTTTTTTAAAGGAACAGGTTGTAAGTAAATGTAGTCAAATAGATTTGTCTTTGGCAGATGAGCTGTTATTTTTCCTTTGAAAATTGTCCTCTCTTTCTGTAATAGGTCCAGCATGCACTGAAAAAATCTGAAAAGGCTTTGGATACTTTAAACAAAGCCATTAACATTGACCCCAAGAACCCGCTATGCAAATTCCATAGAGCTTCTGTATTATTTGCAAATGAAAAATACAAGGTAAGATTTGGTACATGTAGACAACATTAAGTTATCTTTAAATTGCTGTAGCTAGGAATGGGGATGCACTGGAAGCTAAATGCTTACAGATGAACACTGGGTAGCATCAGGGCTTGCAGGAAGAGCCTGGGACATTGGCCTCTCTTGTAGAGGCTAACATGAAGCATTTGCTTTGACAAGTGCAAACATTGCCAAGGGAACTATGTTAAATTTTTTGGTTGTTATAAAATCTGGGGCCAACAAATGATGCTTTCTTAATTATTATTATTTTAGTCTGACCCTGGAAAAAGAAAGGAAAGAAGGGGAAATTATTGCAGCTGCCACCGACATGTGGCTGTGTTATCATGAGTTTATACTAAATTACTAAAAAAAGGCTCAGCAAACTGCCCCATAACCAATTACAGCAATAAGAACCAGCTATTTCAAAGGCTTTGTTATCAAGTGAAAAATAAAAAACGAAGCAATTTTGGTCTGATGCCCTACTGACCTGTACCCTGTTTAGAATGAGTGAAAATCTTCCCACAGTCCAGTGACTGTCCTCTGGCCTGGTTTTTTGGCCACAGAAGACAAGCCACAGTCTGGTTTTTGAAACCTTGCTTCAGAAATGTGTGTGCATGTAAAGGGAAAACTTTACTTACCACTGTGTTTCTTAAATTCATAACTAAACCAATTAAATATAGAATGTATTAAGATTAAGGACTTAATGAAGTGCCCATTCGTAGATTGTTTTTAAAATTTAAAAGCAGAGGATAAATACAAGAAGGGGGGAGGGGGGAATCTAATAGCCCACTGTCTTACTGCCCCTGTGCTAGTGAAGGAACTTGTTTTCAAGTGATGTGAAGTGATGGTGAAGTGATGTTTTAGGAAATAAAACATTTGGACTCTTCTCTTTATTGGGCTCAGACTTGTAAGTTACACGGTTCGCATAAACTACATAGAACTTGATGAAATGTTTTGGGTTTTAGCACCACTACTAAGAGAGTTTTGATAGTGTGATAAATTTGGCTAGTCTTAGGTAAATAAATGTACGGTTACACCTCCATTTATGTAGCAAACTCTAACTTGAAATTGACTTCACATGAATAAGTTTTAGAGGGTCGAATGGAACTTTTTGTAACTAAAACCAATGTTTATTTCTAACTGCAGACTAAATATTTTTAGGTAGAATTTCTTAATAATGCCAGGTTACTGTCACAGCAGCATAAACTGCTCCAGTGTCAACAATTAGTTTAAAAGTAAAGTAGAAGTTTCACTAAATATTTTGGACTTTAAATGCCTAATACAAACACAGTCATCCTTTGTAAAAGTCCACAGATACCTATCGAAAACCAGAACTTTTCAAAAGCATAGGCTTGAGAGCAGTACATCAGCACAAAACACATCGATACTCTTAGTTTTTCAGAAGCGCAGGACACTAAAGGAAGTGCCCACTGTAAATACACGGTCAGCTTCTTGTCTTCTACCGTATTATGGCTTGTTGGGGGCGACGGGGGCATTTGATATCAGAGTTGTTAGGTGTGTTGTAGGAGTCCAAAGCCCAATAAACTCGCTCTATTTCTCTAATAATGGTACTGTAATGTGCTACAATCTTTAAATGAGAAACTAATGTAAAAACAATTTGATGCTTCTCAGGAGATTGTGCTGTTGTTCTTGATGGAATATATTGTATGTAAATGCCAAGAGGTTTTTATTTTTTCACATTGGTGCTAAGTCGCAGTTCAGCGATGTCATAACTGGTTGCAGACTGCTACCTTGTACTTACTAAGGTCTGTCTTCTTCCTTTTCAGTCTGCTTTACAAGAACTTGAAGAACTGAAACAGATTGTTCCCAAAGAGTCTCTTGTTTACTTTTTAATAGGAAAGGTAGGTAAAACTTAACTGTGATCATAAGTTCTTTCATTTCCTTTGTTGCAGAAATGTATGCCTAATGAGAAAATTTGGTGTCTGTCACTAAGCTGCTTCCATTTGGAGTAGTATTCTAAAAATTCCCGAAGCTTTAAATAAGGCTTACTGCTCACAGCTTTATTATGTATCAGCTTTTAAATGCAAAAGATAGTTATTACTGGAGCAGCCCTCAGCTCTCTTTAAAACAAACCAAGAAAAAAATAACCCAAGCAAGTGTTGTTCTTTGCCTGCTTTGATTTCACCACTGTCAACTTGAAAGAGAATTAATTTTTAAAAAGCAAGAAATTGATCCTGATAAAGATACTTCACTGAAAAGAGATGGTGGTTATGCACACAGCCATATATCTTTCCCTGAAAACGGGACTCTGTCAAGACTTGATTCAATACAATAGCAATAATGTGATCAGTGGAAATCCTTAAAATTTTGAGGTATAGTCCATCAGTCAGTCAGCAGTGTTGGTTACTTGTGCCTGTAGCTATTGAAATGTTGAATTGCGTTCTACTGCTTTGTATCAGAAATGCTGAACAAGGAGTAGTTGTAGAGTACTGCTAAGTCTCCATCGATAGCCTCAATGTCCTTTTCAGCTGACAGGCTCCCCGAAAGAGTTGTGGAAGGTTATCACTTGGAAAGTGAAAAGAGTCTTTAATGAGGCTAATGGAGCACGCTAGCACAGGAAGAAATATTCTTAGTTTGTCAGCTGTGTTTACATTCCAACTTTCTTTGTGTTTAATGCCAGAGAAAAGTAATCTGGTAATAGAAATCCTCCTTCCTCACCATCTTCTCTGCTAATATGCTTTAAATAAGTTCTGCAACCTTCTTCGATGAGGCGTCTGTTCACTAGGAAGCAACAAGACAAACTTACCTCTAGCACAGTACTGGATAACCTTCACAGCAAGATTTCTTTATTTTTTTTTTTTAAACTGGAGAGAGGTAAACAGATTTGTGCTGAAATTTGTTGACTGGTATTTGTGCAGGAGTTGCTGGACCTCTGAATTGACGTTAGAGTTGCCACGTCTTGACAAACTTTAGTACTTTTCGCTGTTTAAATGCTTAACGCAGATAGATTGCTTGCTCATCTGTCCTTAATGGTAAGGAGAGTTTCAGTGCAAGTTACAGGGACAAGGGTGGTAAAATATGGGCTGGATTCTGCAATGCAGTGTTGTCTTCAAAATGTTGCCGTTCAGTTTAGCAGGACAAGCTGGGTGTCACTTAATGTCCCGTTATTTTCTCCACGTGCCAGTGACAGTTAAGATGCCACTTGAGAATGTAAGAGCGGCCATGCTGAGTCAAATCAGAAATCTGTCTAACCGTGTATCCTGCCTTTGCTAGCCTTCAATTTGAGAGCTGTAGGGAAGAGTATAAGATACTTGGTGATACGTGGAATACTTCACCAGACTATTCTCTGGGCCTCTGACATGAGAAATCTGAGACTTTGGACTTTTCCTAAGCCACAAGTAGATTTGGGGTTACAGTGACTCAAGAAATTGAAGGAGTGGTGAGGGGGTAAGACAAAACAAAGCCCTTTACACCACTCTGCTGCAGAGTTCCAAAGCTTAAATTTATATCTGAAGATCCGCCTCCTTATGGTTTTGAATCTGTCAGCTGCTAGTTTAATTTAATTTTTGGGTCTTAAATAGAAACACTTGCTGACTCTTTCTGGACGTATTTGCTGTTTCCCTTGGGACTCGTATAATAAATCTTTCATATCTAGCTTCTGTTGCTTTTTCATAAAATATCAGTTAACTGTGGCTTGGTATGTTTGTTGTCCAAACCTTCAATTCAAGTAGCAACTTCATGCAAATGTAGCCTTTTATGCTTTTATTTTAGGTTTATAAAAAACTGGGTCAAACACACTTGGCCCTGATGAATTTCTCATGGGCAATGGACTTAGATCCCAAAGGAGCCAATAACCAGATTAAAGAGGCCATTGACAAACGTTACCTTCCAGATGATGAGGAACCAATAACTCAAGAAGAGCAAATCAGTGAATGTTATCCCTATGAATCAGGTTTGTATTTCAGCCCTTTCTCATTCAAGGAGGTATTTCCACTTAGGTGGTCAGAAGAATCCCAGGTTTAATAAGCGAAACATACTGCTCAGCCTTGCTGCTCGGCAAGTAACAACTCCAGAGGTTCTTCATTTGGAAGATTTCATTCATGCTTTCTCAGTAAGCATGAAATAAAGGATCGTGACATTTCTTTAGAATCTGCAGATGGAGTAGGACAGAGATAATGACTACTGTAAATTCATACAAATCGTGGTTGGCTAATAGTACCCTGGGAGAGTAACGTGTTCCCAGAGCCACAAATCTTCTCTCGTAGAAGCATCACATCATTTCAAGGTACCGGAATGGCAACTGAAACTGTGGAGGCTTTGTCGAAAGTTAAACAAACTGGATGTTGGGTAAAAATATTCGGTCTGCTAAATGCAAAATGTAGCTTTTGACAAAAGTCATGGAAGAGTTTCATTTGAATCAAGAGAAAATAAACCACTTGTGTTATACTGCTTGGGAATAACCCATGAAAAGGAATAGCCCGGTTTTCTCTTGTCTCTAACTTTTCATTATGAACTTAAATTCTCTGAAGCATGGGTAGCTCTGTGAAGCATGGATAGTCATAAATACTGACCTCTTCAGAGCAGACTTGAAATAGCGATAGAAAATAAATACTAATAAGTAATTTAATTCTTTGCCTCCAAAGAAGAAAATACAGCAGGTTTTGGATTCTTAATAGATGTATACTAGGTTCTACAATGCTAAATCTTCAACTGACGAAGTTGTCAGGTTTTGCTACTGTATATCACATTGATTTTTATTGATTCTGTGTACAGTGTGCTTTTTAATACTGAAAACTTATCCTGCACTGCAGTTCCTGAAGTATCAAGAGGTTTTTCTCTCCCTGCTGTTGAGGTTGGGCTTAGAATACTGGCTCACGGGGGGCTGAGGTGTTTCTGACCAGGAGATGGAGACAGAGTACTTGAACTGCTGAGTGGCACCCAGGCAGTACGAAATAAATAAAAAAAGGCACACTATACCTCAAAAAAAAAAAACCACAACCAACCAAAGCCAAACAAATAAACAAAAAAACAAACAAAAACCAACCAACCAAACAAAAAAAACGCACACCCAAAAAAACCCAAACCAACCCCCACAAAAGAACCCAAAACCAAACAGAAAAACAGTCAAAAAAAAAAAAGTAACCACTTCATCTGTCCAGTAAACATAAACAAAATAAAACAGTGTTAGGCTGTGTGTAAGCAATTTGGTTTCCCTGGCTGTGCAGATTACAGTTACAGTCTCAGCAGAATAACTTTTAGGATACATGAGACAAGCTAAAGTAAATTAAGATGGTAGCGGCAGCAAGGGGGAATTTTTTTTTAAATACATTAGCCATTTAATATATAAGCCATTTTGTGCATTAAATTGCCCAGCGTGGGACCGACTGTATCCATTGTACAGAAACCTGTAAAGTGTTTGCATTAAAGCAGTAAAAGGCATCTGTGTTTCTTCACATGAAACAACTTGGGTATTAGGGAATATACAATTCATATGCTAAATTGTACTGTGGGGAGGCAGACTCGAGTTGCACTCCTCTATGTGAAGAACAACCATCATTAGATATGTACCTTTGTTCTAATTTTAACAAGTAGAGGCTACCCTTCAATACTTAACTTCTATAAGTATGTACGCATTTATCTTGTATGCTGTTTTCTTGGAAGCTCTAGGCTAGCCATCGTCTGAGCTGAGCGAGCAGAGTAATTCTTCAGCATCAGAAACATCTGTATAATACTTAAATGCGTACATACTTATAGAAGTTATCTTGTATGCTGTTTTCTTGGAAGCTCTAGGCTAGCCATCGTCTGAGCTGAGCGAGCAGAGTAATTCTTCAGCATCAGAAACATCTGTATGCATTTACTCAAAGCAGTTCTCTTGCCACACGTCTCGCTCAGTATTCTTTGTCACAGAAGCAGGGAGCAAGTAGAGGCTGCCTAATGCTGCTAACTGATTTATTATTTGATTGTAACTGAGTGGTCACAGTGCAGTAATGCAGCGGGTAACTAATGTGAGCATTTTGGGCAGCTGGTGTGTTTTGAAGGAGTGGGAAGGTTAAGTGGTTCTTGAGACAATTTTGGAACCCTCCCATACCAGTCCCTACCTAACTAGGTGTCAGAGATTTCAGATTTTTAACAGAAGATGGCTAAGGCAGCATGTTTTGTTACTATGTACTTTGTGTTAATTTCTTTCTAAATGCTTTTATGTAGACTTCGTTAAGCTGACAGGGGTCAGGTGTACCAGAAGGAAAAAGGGAAGAGCCACATGGCTTTAAAAGTGTCGTGAGGGGAAGCCCAAACTTGTTGCTGCTGTGCTTTTGACGTGCTGTAGTCAATTGTGGGGGAATCTTTGCAGCGAAGCAGCCCAGTAGTGTTTGACTACTTTGTGTTTCTTTTTCTTTCAAGTTGGCACAGACGAATCCCAAGAGAGCAGCATGACGGATGCAGATGACACACAGCTCCATGCAGTTGAAAGTGATGAATTTTAACCTCCAAAAGCCAGTATCTGAACTTGAGTGTGTGACTGGTACTGTTGTGTTCTCCCCTTCCTTTGCATCCTGGGTCTTCACATCACTGAGCCAGCATTGTCGTTATTCTCCACCGACACCATGAGTACACCACTCTGACTTAAACTGTACACTGAGTTAATGGCAGTGCAATATTCAGCTGCTACCGAGTCTGACTAGTTGGCTCTTACGCATTTATGACAGTGACTGAGGCGGAAATGCTGGTTTTGGACTCCCCTTTGCTGGAAAAGTATCATGGAAGAAAGACTCGTGGTTTGCTGTAACGAAGCCAGTAGATGTGGGGATAGTACTAATGAAGCAGTCTCTTGTTCTTTTTCCAGAAATGTGTCTTAGTTTGGTTCTTTTTTGGTAAGCAGAGTGCTGAACCTCATTTCCAAGTTCTTCAAGGACAGTGTTGACAAATGCGGGCTGTTAAAGACTTTTGCATATTGTAGTGTAACCTAAATGCCAGGGAATGTAAATGACCTTAAAGCTCCAGTGTCTCCGGTGAACAAACACCATGCACATGCTCAGGACAGGGAGTGTGTCAAACTACATAAAATACCCGGTGTCCCTACTTAGAGTGCAGACTTGCAGGAGTGGAAACGTAGCAGGAGAATCACATTGCAGAGTCGGAGCTTTCGTGAAATGCTTTCAGGTTCTAACCAAGAATTAATTTATTCACCTAGATTCTGAAAGGTCGGTGTTTACTTTGTACTTCACAGAAACAAGTCAGCAACACCTTGCTTCATTTTGCATATACACCTTGACTTGTTCTTCCCTTTTTAAGAATAAAAACTAATAAAGGGCAAAATCAAGAGAGAAATGTAGATGCAACTGTAATGTGAAAACATCAAACCCTTAATCCAGAGTGACTGAGTGTTTCTAAACGGATAGACTGGGAAGACCGTGGAAGCCTTAAAACAATCAGAACCTTAGTCAAACGCATCAAGTAACTGTCTAAAACTAGTATCATTTTTAAGACTCTTTTGTAAGGTGTGGTCCAAGCAGATGCAAAAATGTGCAATTACCTGTCTTTCTCCTTTTTTATTTCTTTTTTTTAAAGCTGTTCTTTAAGATTCTCCCTCTAGGAACACTGTCCTCTTCCACAGAGGCTGCTTCTGCGAGAAGAAAGCTGCGTCATGTTAACGAGTCCAAAATGATCTTTCTCTGTAGCATTCTGCAGCAACAATTGGTGCCCTTTATGCAGGGATGGTAAAGAAAGTGTATGACATAAGCAGTTTTAAAGAGCAATTTATGCATAATAAATTGGGAATGATATAAATTTCATAGCAACATATTTGTTGTGATCAGTCTTAATGGGTTTTTTTTAATGTATTGGTTTTTAGGGGTCTTTTAGTTGCCTTTAGAACTTCAGTTTTTTTATAATTCTGTCCTTGTCTTACACTAGGCACGTCTTCTGTCACAGCTCCCCTCTGGTCATGAGCCACACAGACACCTTTATCGCTTGAAAAATAATCCTCAAGTGCTGAGCAAAAATATAATTCTCTGATTATTTTTTTTTTTTGAGTAGGAAGGTAAGCAGTGAAAAATAAGCTTAAAGTCCCCTGATAGCGTGAAAAGGAATTTCTAAAATCTGAGGAATGATAATATATTTAAGGAGCTTTGTGCCTCTGCCACGTAGTTCTGAACAGCGTGTGTCTGGAAGGTTGATGAACCGACTGGAAAATCCTGACACGTTTCAGGTGGCTTGTGCCTACTGAGTCTTGCAGCGTTTTTTGTGGTGATAGATATCCTGGAGCGATTCCCTCTCCTGTTGAGTTCTCCCCGAGGAAGACACAGGGTTCACATTTCCCGAGAGCTGATCTGCATCTGTGGTGGAGCTCAGGCACGGTGCACTCGAGTTCCCGGTGTCTGTCCTGGTGTGGTTTTCCCATCCGGGCACACAGCGCGTTTGCAGCTTCCCAGCGCATCCCTCGCAAGGCGGAATTTCCAAGCAGCACCTCGGCATAGAGTCTGGAGGCAGCACTTGTGCGAATGTCACCGATTAACGCGTTAATTGGCTTCCTTTTGGTTCCCATCGTATCTTCTGAGCAAAAAGCAGGAGTAAGCAGGTGGTACTCTCAAGACCTTTCCGTAACAAATGCTGTTGTTTAAACAGGGACTGGAGAGCTAGGAAATTAGGTGGCTTTTTCCCTTTTCTTTCATTCTCTAAAACTTGTGAACATTTGTAGTAAAATTTTCAACACCCTGGAAAGAGCTTTTCGTTCAGCTGGGATGTTAAAAGGATATCCGTGCTACCTGGAAGATTTAATACTTAAAACTGTCCCTTGCTTTATGTGTACATCATACCTTAAAGTGATTTTTCTTTTTTCCCGAGAATCTGAAGTAACGGTTGGACCATGCTGCTGTTCTACCTTCTAGATATACAAAACTAGTATTTAATCAATAAAATTTTGCTCTCTTTGAAGAGGAGCAGGGGGAAGGATGGTGAGCATGAAGGCACTCTGGCAGCCAGGTTAGAGCAAGTGTGTTCACTGAAAAGAGTTAGGGAACTGTCATTTTCTTACAACAAAACTATGGGAAAATGCAAAGTGTGGGTGTGGTGTGTACTATTTGCATTGAAACAATGTAATTTGTCTTTTTTTTTTGCTTTTCCTGACTTTTTATTTCAAAAATTGTACAGTCTTAGGAAAAAAAAAGTCTTTTCTGTTAATATATTTGCGATTCATTAAAGGATGTGGAAAATCCAAATAAACTACTTTTAAAAGCAGGCTTAGCCCCAGGTCCTTTGGGTCAGGTTGGGATTCATCCGTCGGGATGTGGGCAAGTGGGGCGGAGTTGGAGGGAGGTTTAAGGACAGAGCTGGGGGTCCGGGGACGGCGGAGGGGGGTGCTGCTTTCTGTCCTGCAGTAGCTGGGGAGTCCAGTGTCACCTGGGATTCTGGCCCAGGCTTGCAGCGAAGCGAGCTGCGGGTGTTCCCTTCCTGGGCTGGAATTTTGGGAGAGGTGGGGGGTTACACCTGATGTTAGGGGCTGTGCAGTGAGGTTTCCAAAAATCTTTCTGTTCATCATCAGCTTACATCCCGCACCTCGACAGGAGACTCACTTAGCTCCCAGGTATGGAGGAGGGGGGTTTTTTTAATGATTATTTTTTATTCTGCCTTCCGTAGCAGCTCGTAACGTCGTTTGTGGCTGCGACTGTTGTCGGCTCCGCAGAGGAATGATGACACTTTGCTGTGCTTTCAGATCTAGAGGAAAAGCTCTCCAGGAAGGCTGAGGCTCCTGCCTGCATAGGAATTCCTCTTGCTGCATACGGTTGTCTTGGATTAAAGCTTTTAGTGCTCATTATTGTTATAGTGCTCACTATATTAGCCTAATCCAGTAGGTTTTTTGAGAGCAAAGTTTGGCTGTAGAAGTGACTCTGAACTTAACCCTTTCCTGCACCTAGGTGCCTCCCCTGGGTTTTTTCCCCGTATTTTTAATCCTGGACTTTTCTAATTGTGCAAACAAACGTAGTCCCGTAATTAAATCCTCTGCTCTGTAGCCGACTTCCCGCCCTGCTTTACGCACGGCAGCGAGAGCCGAGTTATTCTTCCTGGGTCTGGGTTGCAGTTTCTCTGTGTCGGCTCAAACACGGGTGATTTCAGCTGCAGGCTTCCTAGCGGTGAGCCGGAGCCTTGGTAATGGTAGGCTGGGCTTTAGGCATCTCCAGAGAAAGGCAAAGCATTAATGAAATTTAACTTGTAAGCTGCAATATTTTGTTCTGTGTCTGAATCGCAGCAATGCAGTGAGCGCTAGGAGTTGTTAGCATCTCCGGATTTCCAGCTCGGGAATGGTTTTGGCACCTGGTCTTTATGAACACCTACAGCTCCTTACTGCTGCATCCCACTTCGTTCTGTTGTTCGTCAGTGGCTTTGCTGCTGCATCTTCCTCTTTTCTGTCCCTCTGTCGAAGTTAGCGACTTTATTTGAGGGAGCCCTGGTCCAGGAGCCGGCGCTGGTTCTTTTTTTGGTTTTCAAATGGGGCAGAAGAGGAGGGTTTCTACAGCAGGAAGCCCTGTGTTCTTGATCCTCAGAGGAGCAGGGTTAAATATTAGAGTAACATGAAGAATAAGACTTCCTCTGCTTCTTTTGCCTGTCTGCTTTTCAAATCAGTATTTGTGGGGCACCCGATTTCTCAGTGAGTTCGGGTCCAGCTGCTCTGTAAACCCTGGGAGATGTTCCCTGCTTTGAAATCCCACAGCGGCAGTGAGCGGGGACAGGAGGGGACCCGCTCCCTTCCCTGAGGTCGCAGCACCGTACCCAGACAGCAGACTCCTCTCCAGGCTCTGTGTCCTCGCATCCAGCTGGGCAGAGTCACGGAGCAAAGCCACGGACCGGGAATGCCGGACCCAGAACATCCCGTGGCGGTGGGAACGGGACAGATGAGGTGAGGGAGACTGAGGAGCTGCTGCGGCAGCTGCAAGAGAGATGTGAGACTGATGAGAAACGGGAGCGGGCACGGTGGGGTGACACGTGTGGGACCTGGGCTGGGTGACCGTCCCCTCTCCAGAGGTCACGTTCACCTGGGATGGGGCCAATTTGGGCCTTTTCTGGGTT